TGTGATTATTTAAAAATATAGTTATAAATTTTTGATACCTTTCTTTAAGAGAGAAATTTAATTCTTCTCCTGATGAGTGAAAGTTGGTGACTTGCTTTTAATAAATAGAATATGATGGAACTGACTGTGAGTGATATCTGAGACTCAATTATAAAAGGCATTGTGTTGGGAGGAGGGTATAACTCAGTGGTACAGCATGTGTTTAGCATGCAACACGTCCTGGGTTCAATCCCCAGTACCTCTGTAAAAAAAAAAAAGGCATTATGGCTTTCTCCTTGCTTTCTGGAATCACTTACTCTGTGGGAAGCCCTTTGTGATGTTGTAAAGACACTCAAGCACCCACATGGAGAGAACCGTCAGCTACTGAGGACCTAGGCCCCCTGCCAATAGCCCTGTGAGCATACCATCTTGGAAGTGGATCCTCTAGTCCTAGGCATCTATGGCTGAAATCTTGACTGAAACCTCATAAGAGACTCTAAGCTAGAATCACCTACCTAAGCCTCTCCTAAGCTGTGAGATAAGTAATGTTTGGTATTTTATGCTACAAAGTTTTGGGTTAATTTGTTACACAGCTATAGATGACCAATACAGATCTTCCACTCCTTAAAATCCTGTCCCTCTGGAATCTCTCTTGGTACCAAATGAATTGCATCATGTTAGATGGAAGCATGACTTTGTTATTAAATTTTCTGGAAATTAAGTGTTATTTGAAGAGATGTATATGTATGCCATGTTGTCAGAGGTGGATTTTGGTGGCTTTGTAATGTGTCAGCTTGGCTATGTTAAACTATTTCCCAGAATCCCTTCCCTTTATGTTTCTGATTAGGATGAGCCAAAACAGACATTTTTTTCATGACTGTTTGAGGGCAGAAGTGAAGCAGCAGGCATTTTGTTTTTTACACTGAGATGGTCAAGGGAGGCCCTTATGTATCTCACAGATGTTTCTCATCTGCTAGTTTATCTCATTGGAGAGGGATAGCAGCGAGGCCTGCAACTGCCTCATCTTTCCCTGGGTCCTCCTTTAACTTCTCTGATTCCTGGGTCAAGTGTGTATTTAGGTTCCATGATGAGAGTGCCAGCTACTTCAGCTGGATACCTGTATCCTGAAGGTTGGAGGCACTGAGAATTCATATGGTGTGAACTCACAGTGTGTCCTTATGGTTTCTAGCTCATGCTCATGGGTCCAGCTTATTTTTACTCTCTCTTTCTTTACACTCATATTCTCTTTTTGACTATCTGACCTGCGGATTTCTAGCTCCAGCATCAGATAAGAAAAATTAGCCTTCTGGAAACTGTTTAACCAGCTCCCACAACTGTATATAGATCAAATCTCTGTAGCAAATACTTTATTCTATTTCTATCACTGTTTAATCTGTCTCAGTCTCTTAATAGTTCTGCTTCTCTGATTGAACCTTAACTAATAGAATGATCTTCATTATCAACTTGTACCTTCAAATATGTTGGTTCTCAAATCCATTAAATTAAGTACAAGAATCACCAGGGGTTCCTGTGAAACATGAGGATTACCAGTATCCACCTTCAGAAATAAATTCTGATTCACTAGGTGTGATGTGCAGCCTAAGAATCTGCATTTTACATAGACATCAGATTCAGATGGTCCAAGCACCATTTTGAGCAAATACTTACAAATGTTTTATCATATTTAAAATATATATCCTTGAAATGAACATTTTCCAATAATAGAATTTCCTTTCAGTGCTGGTGGTATTAAAGCCAAATCTAGGTGAATTCATCCAACAAACATTTATTAAGTCACTTGTTGTATAATAGAAACATGCTCCAAGTTGGGAATTAGTATCAAGGTATCTATTGAAAGATATCCAGTAGAAAGACATTGTGTTGGAGTCATTTAAAATGATGGTATATGTCTTTATATTTCTATTAATAATGATCTTTGTGACAACGCTGTGGTTTTTCAGAGCAAGCTCAGGTATAATGGAAGGTTCAGATTTGTGAGAGAGAGTGATTCTGCAATTGCCTTCCCCTTGGCTTCAGCCAGTGAAGTCCTGTTATTTTATATATATATATAAAAATATGTATGTATACACACACACACACACACACACACACATGTATTTTAATAGATGAGGTTTTCTCATGAGGTATTTTACCTGAAGAAAATGTACCACATAAGAATAATTGAAAATAAAAATCTTTGCTATAAAATATTGAACATGTTATTTTTCACATAAAAAGTATTTAACAAGTATCGATTGAATGGATAATGGATATGTTGGTGCATATCTTACCATTATAGAGCCACAGTATTAAGGGAAGAAGGACAAACCCATAGTTAACATCATACACAATGATGAAAAGTTGAAAGTTTTCCCTCTAAGAGCAGGAACAAGACAAGAGTGCGCAGTCTCACCACTCCTATTCAACATAGTATTGGAAGTTCTAGCCAGAGCAGTTAGTCAAGAAAAAGAAATAAAAGTCATCTAAATCAGAAAGGAAGAAGTAAATTCTCTGATGGCAGATGTTATGATATCATATATAGAAAACCCTGAAGATGCCATCAAAACTAATGAAGTTCAGTGAAGTTTCAGAATACAAAATCAGCATACAAAAATTAATTGTGTTTTATACACTAACAACAAACTTCTGAAAAAAAATTAAGGAAAACAATTCCATTTATAGTAGACTTAAAAATAATAAAAATACTTAGGAATAACTAGAGCTAAAAAAGGTGAAGTATCTGTATACTAAAAATTACAAGACACTGATGAAAGAAATTGAAGGAAACACAAATAAAGGGAAAGATATCCCATATCCATGGATCAGAAAAATTAATGTTGTTAAAATGTCCATAATACTAAAAGCCATCTACAGATTAAGTGCAATCGCTATAAAAATTCCAATGGTATTTTGACAGAAATAGAACAAACAACCCTAAAATTCATGTGAAATCACAAAAAGCCCTAAACAGCCAAAGACACCCTGAGAAACAGCCAAATCACAAGTCCTGATGTCAGACTTTATTATGAAACTATAATAATCAGAACAGTACAGTTCTGGTATAAAAAGAGACACACAGACCAATGGAATAGAATCAAGAGCCCAGAAATAAACCCACGCGTACATGGTCAACTAATCTTTGATAAGGGAGCCTTGAATACCTACTGGGGAAAAGACAGTGTCTTCAATAAATGGTGTTAGGAAAACTGGGTGTTCACATACAGATGAATGAAATTGGACCCCTGTTTTACACCACTCACAAAAATTAACTCGAAATGGATTAAAGGCTTAGATATAAGACTTAAAACTATAAAACTACTGGAAGAAAATATAAGGAATTTTTGACATTGATCTTGGCAGTGATTTTTTTGGGTGTGACACCAAAAGCACAAGCAGCAGCAAAAATAAACACTTGAGACTACATAAATTTAAAAAGGTTTTTCATAGCGAAAGAAACAATCAGCAAAATGAGAAGGCATCCTGTGGAATGGGAGAAAATATTTGCAAACCATTTATCTAATGAAGGGTTAATATCCAAAATATATAAGGAACTCATATAACCCAATAGCAAAAATAAACAATCCTATTAAAAAATTAGAAAAGGACTTGGAAAGATATTTTTCCAGGGTAGACATACAAATGGTCAACGAGTACATGAAAAGATTCTCAACTTCTGTAATCTTCAGAGAAATACAGATCAAAACCACAGTGAGATATTACCTCATACCTGAAAGAATGGCCGTCATCGGAAGACGAAACAAGTGTTGGTGAGCTGTGGAGAAAAGGAAACCCTTGTGCACTGTTGGTGGGAATGTAAATTGGTACAGTCACTCTGGAATAAAGTATGGAGATTCCTCAAAAAATTAAAAATAGAACTACCCTATGATCCAGCAGTTTCACTCATGGATGATATCCAAAAGAAATGAAATCATCATCTCAAAGATTAGGTATCTGCACCCCCTTGTTTATTGCAGCATTATTTACAAAGCCAAGACAGGGAAACAACCTAAGTGTCCAAGGATGGGTGAATGGATAAAGAAAATGTGAGACACACACACACAGACACAGAGAGAAATATGATTCATTCATAAAAAAGAAGGAAATCCTGCCCTTTGTGACAGCATGGATTAACCTGGAGGGCTTTATGCTAAGTGAACTAAGTGAGACAGAGAAAGACAAGTACTGTATGTTCTCACTTGTACAGAACCTAAAAAAGCTGAACTCATAGAAATAGAAGAGTGGTGGCTGCCAGAGGCTGGAGGTGGGGAAATGGGAAGATGTTGGTCAAAGGGTACAAACTTGTAGTTATAAGATGAGTAAGTTCTGGGAATCTAATGTGTAGCATGGTTACTTTATTATATGCTTGAAATTTGTTAAGAGAGTAGATCTTAAATGTTATCACACAGACACAAAATGTAATTTGAGTGGAGGCAGGTGTTAACTAACCTTATGTGCTAGTCATTTCACATGTCTCAAATTATTACATTGTACACCTTAACCTTACTTATGTTTATCTGTCAATAATATCTCAATAAAGCTGGAGGAAAAAAGGCAAAATGGTAACGAGAGACCATTTATTTCATAGATGAGTAAACGAAGCCCCTAACCATGGAATGATTTGCCTGTGGTTTCACTGGTAAAGCTAAAGCTTCTTTCTCTTTCCTGTGTACCATAACTGACATATTACAAGATAATTAACAAAATATTGGGTCTTCATAACATTACAGGAAATTTTCAATATGTTTATTATTTTTTCTAATTATATTACATCTAATATAGTTACTTAATAACATGAAAAATTTCTGGTATGGGATTATTTTTTTAGGCCAATCAGGTAAAAGAATGATTATTCTAAAGTCTTATACATTGATGGATTTTGATAAATATCTATTTCAGATAGCTTAATATCAAAACTGAGTTTTCATTATATTAGAAGGTAAAATAATGAAAGATTGTATCATGGTTTTTAAAAATAGTCATAAGCATGTTTTTCTCTGTTTGTATTTGGTTCATGTCTACAGCTGGATTCTGATGGCACCGTGACTATAGAGGAGCAGATAGTCCTTGTGCTGAAAGCTAAAGTGGAGTGTGAACTCAACATCACAGCCCAGCTGCAGGAAGGAGGTAAAGATGCTGAGGAAACTGTGTCCTCCATGAGCCTGCCCCAGTCCTCACAAAGATTGCAAATTTCTTCCTTAGTGAGTAGTAGGGGTTTCTTCATCCGTCATTCCGTGTTTCTGTATAGAGAGGTGGGTAGCAGAATAATGCTCTTTTCATCTTTTTAACCCACGAGCTCTTCCCTCCCTGTGGAAGGAGTGACTTGCCTGATTTGTGAGTTTGGGAATAGCGAGCAGGCCTGTGGACATCGGCCTCTTCCTCACACCTCTCTTTGGGATTTTTCTGCCTGCAGAGCATGTGTACTGGTTTGCCCCTAACCATGCAGTAAGCTTGCAGGGGCAGGCTCTGTACTGGTGTCACCTGCAGTTTTAGGTAGTATGTAAAGTTCAAAGGAGAAAATAAGCCCATTTATACATACGTAGACCATGTTCTCCAAAAAACTTTCTTCTTAATAAAATGATGATTTTATCTCCAACTGCCAGACTCCTTATGTAATTTCTCAATTAGTTCCGAATTCAAGTGGGAAACTACAAAAACAAAATTACAGAACTACAGTCGAGCTGGTGGTGGTGTTGGCGCTCTTGGGTGCTTCTACTGGTGCAGCTTCACAGAGACCTGTAGCTTGTGTTCCCCAGGGTCTGGTGGTCACCTGCACTGCTCATCAGGGCCACTGAATAAAGTTATTTATTAGATTGGAATAGTGGGAAAATTATAACATTTTATATAAGGAAATGCCTCGCTTTGATAGTTGAATATATTTGAAGAAATTTTTAAAAAGAGGAGGTGCTATTTACTCAGCTCTCTAAATTCCCAGCAGTCTGAGTGCAGTGGATGATGTCCTTAAAGCTACACCTGAAAATAAAACACATAATTTGATATCTTCTTCATTCTAGTCTCCCTAATATTAAAAAAAATTGTGGTTGATTTCTCAGCTGGTTATGATCAGAGAATGTGGTCTGCATGATACCGATTTTTAAAAGCATGTTGAGACTTAATTGCTTATATTGGTGTCAATTTTGATAATCCATGTGGTCTTCAAAGGAATATGTACTGTCCAGTTTCTAAGGACAGTGTTTTATAGTGCCCACTAGGTTAAGCTCATTGGTTGCATAGTTCATATATTTTGTATCCATATTTTTCATCTACTTGACCTGTTCTTCTCTTAAAATACCTCACTATGATGATTCATTTTTTGCTTCACACATTTTGAAAATGTTATTGCGTATATGCAAGTTTAGAAATGTTGTATTTCCTGGTAAAATCAAAGCTTTCATTGATATGAAATAGCCCTCTTTATTTCTAGTTTTCTTTGGCTTTAAATATTAAATAACAAATACTATAAATTTATTATATTAAAATAAAAATATTTAATAAACAACATTAGTTTCTTTCTCTCTTGGTTGGTATTTGCCTTGAACATCTTCTCCCATCAAAAATTTTTTAATTATGGTATAATACACATAACATTGAACTAATCATCTTAAATGCTTTTAAGTGTACGGTTCAGTGATGATAAGTGTATTCACATATTGTGAAATCAGTCTCCAGAAATTTTTCATCTTGCATAATTGACACTTTAAATCCATTAAACAACAACAATCATTTTATTTGGGCTTTTCATTTCATCAGCTCTTCCTGTGTGTCTCTTTTACTGCCCACCTTCACCCACTGTTGGCTTCTATTGAATTGACTGTGACTTTTTTTCTTATTTCATCCTCCCTCTTCCTACTAGTTTAGAAGATATATAGTATATTTAATTCTTTAGTGATTAACCCAGAATTTTTAAATATAGATTTAATTTAAGAAAGTTTAAAGTTATCAGTAACTTCCCTCTCTCAAGTAATGTAAGTAGCTTTTGAAATACTTTGCTTCCAAATTATGTTACCGTCATATAGTTTTAATGTATGTTTTTTATAATTTTTCTTCTTCCTGAAATACATCCTTTTTAAGGATTTCTTTATATTAGAATTTGCTTATAGTAAACTCTCAGTTTTTATTTGTCTGAAAAGGTATTTATTTCAGTCTCAATCTTCAAAGATACTTTTTCTAGACATATGATCCTTGGGTGAGAATTATTTACTTTTGGCACCTAAAGATATTATTTCCTCCTCCCCCTGCCCTTGTTATTGTTGACAAATCAGTTCTCAGTCTCTGTTGGTGATTAGTTTTTATCTTTGGCTCCTTTTAAGAGCTGCTCTTTGATTTTGATGTTCTGCAGTTTCATTCTGTATGTAGGTATGGAGTCATCTGATTTCCGGAGTCTGAGGATATGTGTCTTTATTCAATGGTGGGAATGTTTTGCTATTTTTTTTTTTTGTCTTTGAAAAATTTACTCTCCCTCATTCCCCTGTTCTCTTCTGGAACTTTAAGTAGACAAATGTGGGAACTTCTCACATACTTTGTGTCTTTATGTCTTATATGTTTTTCTTTTCTTTGTTTTTCTGCTGCTATTTTGGTAATTTGTTCAAATATATTTTTTAATTCACCAGCTCTTTGTTCAGCTTTGTCTAATGACTATTTCATCCATCCATTAAGTTAATTTTGATTATTCTATTTTTCTCTTTTTGGAATCTTCATAATTTTTGACAGCCTTTTTGTACCTTAAATATTTTAATCTCTTCCCTTTTTTCCTTAAACATATTTTATATTCTGAATTTGATAATTAAAATAACCACATTCTTTGTTTGTCAATACTGACTAGCACACATAGGGCTTATTTCCTTGTGTGTTTGATGATTTATGGTAAAGAACTAGTGAGGTCCTCATTTAAAGTACATTCTGTTTTCTGCAAGGTGCTTAGTGGAACTATTGAACTAAATCCACTTTAAACTAAGCCCACATATTAGACCACACGTGAGTGTGAATTTGTGGTTAGAAATTTTCAGAGAAGAATCTTTTTCTCCATTGTTTCCTAGTCCAACTCTAATGCAACCAAGAATGAAACAAGCCAATCTCTTTTTGAAGGATACTTTTATTTCTTGTTCACTCACTAAAGGGTTCATCTTTTGGGAATCTTGACCTTATACAGGAGTTTCCAGTCCAATTTACCAACTTCATCAGGTCTCAGGCTCATCTTTTGTTACCTGAACACAATCAAAATCCAAGCTTTTAGCTGGTAAGACAGTAGAGGCCTCCAATGTAAGCCTCAGTTGCAGTGCCTGCTGATCCCATGAAATAATTTCTGGCCTCAGATTTATTCCTTTAATTTGTAGCAAGCTAAGCCATGTTTGAGAAAGAAGATCTGTATATTAATTTAGCCTTTGTAGGTGTTTTGTACCAGGGAAGAGTTCTCTGAATGACTAGACAATAAATAGTGTCAGTAAAGGGAATCGCTCAGGTTACCTCTAAAGAAAGCTGACCCCGATACCTCAACCATGCAGGTCTACTAAAAACTAAGACCATTGCCGTGAAGGAAATTATAACCATTGTTATCTATGAGGGCCAAATGAACTGTTTTCTATGAAGTGAGCTGGAAGATCTCTTAGAGATTATCTAGTCCAATGTTATCATCTTTAGTGCCCCTTTAACAGTTCAACAAATATATCATGTGCCTACAGTGTGTTGCTTCTGTAGTGAGCACTGGAAAAAATGGATCAAATTCTGTCCTTACTCCATGGAGATGCTGATCTAGTAAGCGAAGATGGTGTGTAAGTTTAACAGTAGAGGTATCCCAACTGTGGAACCATGGGAAAGGCATCTTAATTCATCAGGGAGGAATCAGAAAAATCTTTCTGGAGGAGGAATTTTAAAATTAAAGGACAAGTAATTAGATGTGTAGAGGAGGAAGTAAAAAGACATTCTAGGCAGAGGGAAGAGGGTGGGCAAAGACAAGCAACTGTGAATCAGTCACACGCCACAAGAGTTAAACATAAAAAAGGCAAATGATCTGGATGTAAACTTATATAACATCTAAAATTTGTGAAGGTGCAAGTCATATGAAACATGTGGTTGAGTAAATATTAAAAAAGAAAAGATACTTTCTTTGAGATCTTTCTCATACAATAGGATAGAATTAAATCTGGTTAAACTTCAGTCTAAAGCTCAATGAAAAATGTCTAGTTATATGTAAATTGACTCAAGATTTCTTCACTTTACAAGTGTAGAAAACTAAATGACATTTTGAATTCATTAGCTAATTTAAGAAGTTTTTATTTTTAAATTCTTCTAAAGTTGAGAGATGCATATCAAAGTATTTAGGAGTGAACTGTTACGCTGTCTGCAACTTACTTTAAATACCACAGCAAGAAATAACTTAGATGAAATAAATATGGTAAAATATTACCAACTGTAAATTCTAGATGATGGATATATAATATTCTGTTTTATTTCTGAAAAAATTTTATAATAAAATTTTGTACAAAATTATAAAAAAATTTTGTAATAAAATTTTTCTCTCATGTCTATGAAAGAAAGAACAGAAAATGTAAATGCAAATACCCAGTTATAAAACTATTTAAATATTTAAAAACAAAACCCAAAATATTATTGATCCCAGTTTTATTTAAGAACTTTATGGTTGTGGTATGTTATGGGTAACTGTAGAATTGAAAAGAATCAAGTTAGATTCTTCAAATTTTAGATTGCTCTGTGTAAGTACCATGGTTTGACAAGTTTCACTAATGAGTTTGTCCTGGCACACACGAAAGATTTCAAAGAATGTAATTAATGGTATGGATTTATAAAGGGAGATTGGTGACTCATTCAGCAATTAATTAGTTTCTTGCTAAATAATGAAAGTATTTATTCACATAGAATGTGAAATGATGATCAAAGAGAAGAAGTTAATTAAGATCACTGCAATATCTATATGAGGGCATGACTTTCCCAATCTTTTCAACCTTTTGTGAATATTTATATTTATTATTCTATTTGTCAGAGAGCCATGAGACACATGATTACAACCTACAGAAATATTATTTCGAGGGACTGTTGGTTTTCTGAATTTGGGGGTATGTCTGTGTGTGTATGTGCATGGGGTGGTATCTTTTAGGGAACAAAAAAAGATACCTTTTAAAGCGTGAGGAAAGTATCAGCAGGTTTTTCTCTACGGCAGTTTAAAAACTACATGGCTATAGAATAAACTGATCATTCATTGGCTTTTAGACTTCTATGAAGACCTTACTCCATTATGTGACCAACCCGTGTCAAAAAGCCTCATGTGACATTGCAGCACACATTTTAGAGGGACAACTAGTTGGAAGAACCCAATAATATGTGTCCGGGTACCATTTATGTAGATTGCATAGTAGATATCTAGTAAGGGATCAGATCCAGAGAAATAAGGATGCATGATTTGTTAAAGATGAAGCAAATGGGTGGGAAGCCATATGGAATGCTGTTAAGACAGAAGAGATTATCTAGGGCAGAACTGATGGAAGAGGTTGATTTATTGCACTCTATTTAAACAAGAAGGAAAACAAACTAAAAGCAGGCAATGGTGGAGAGAAGCAGGAGCTAGCGTAATGAGTTCCTGAGTTGCCTGCAGTGTGTAAAGCCCAGGCTTTCATTATGAGAGCAAAATGAGGCCGCTTCCAAGAAAACATTCTCTTCTATGAGAACAGTGTGGGTGACGGAAGACATTTCTTCTGCTTATTGCGTCAACAGTCCATAAAGCAGATCAAGTATTTGTTTCCCTGTGGTATGATGGACTCTAGCGTGCTAATTTCAGTTTATGCTGAATTCTTTTTTGCAGAAATCAGTGTTTGCATGAGATTCTATTATGCTGACTATTCAAAACGGAACAAACATCTTGGCATAATAAACATTAGCTAGAACAAAAATCCTCAGCTGCAATTAGTGTCACTGGTAACTAAAAATTGAGAGAGCTATAATAAGTAGTACTTGTGATAGCAGAATACTGTCCCCTCAAAGATGTCCAAACCCTAATATCTGGTGTTATGCCTGTGTTTGTTATAGCACATGGCACAGGGGCACTGCAGATGGAATTAAGGTTATGGACCTTAAAGTAGGAGGATTATCTTGGATTCTTTGGGTGAGACTAATGTAATCACACAGGTTCTTAAAAGTAGAAGAGAAAGATGAAAGAGTCAGTCAGGGAGAAAAAGAGTGGAGTAGAGATTAAAAATGTCAGGAGGACCTGACCTCCCTTGCTGACTTTGAAGATGGAGGAAGGAGACCATGAGCCAAAGAATGCAGGTGTCTTCCAAAAGTTGGGGGCAGCCCTCAGCTGACAGCCAGGAAGGAAATGGGAGCCTCAGTCTTATCACAGCAAGGAACTGAATTCTGCCAACAACTGGAATGAGTAAAGAAATGGATTTCCCCCTAGAGTCTCAGAGAGCATCACAGCCCCGCCCAGCCCTTGATTCAGCCTTGTGCGTCCATAAGCCGAGATCCGGCTGAGCTCATTGGACTTCTGACCTACAGAAATAGTGAGGTAATAAATTTGGGATATTTGAAGCCACTGCATTTGTGCTAATTTGTTAACGGTAGCAATGGAAAATGAATACAATATCCGCTAAAAGTAGTCTTTTTGGGGGAAGCTGGGACATGATATGACTGATAGGGTCTCTTCTTGGAAGTTTCGTACTCAGCTAATGGAGGGGAGTCCTGGAAAACACAGAGTGACCAACGCATGAAGCAAAACAGACAAGATCCCCTACCCTCATGGTCCTTAAAGCCTGTGGTTTGAGAGAACAGTAATAGAATAACACAATAATAGAAGGTGATGAGAGCTCAGGTGAAAAACATAGTAGGAAAGAGGTGGGTGGGTGAGGGATAAGCCAGGGGAGGGAGCAGATCGTGTAGGGTCTCAGGCACTGCAAAGACTTGGCTTTTGCTCAGAGTGAGTTGGGAAGCCTTTGGAGGATTTTGGGTTATTGTGTGAAGAATAAAAAAGAATGAAACTTTGCCATTTGTAGCAACGTGGGTGGACTTGGAAGGCATTATGCTAAGTGAAATAAGTCAGGCGAAGACAAATACTATATGATATCACTTACATGTGGAATCTAAAAAATACAACAAACTAGTGAATATAACAAAAAAGAAGCAGACTCACAGACATAGAGAACAAACCAGTGGTTACCGGTGGGGAGGGAGGGACAACCAAGGGGTGGAGTGGTGGGAGGGACAAACTATTGGCTGTAAGATGGGTGCAGGGATGTAGTGTACAACACAGGGAATTACAGCCAATATTTTGTAATAACTGTAAATTGGAAATAACCTTTAAAAGTTGCATAAAAATTAAAAAATTTTAAAAAGGCTAAATTTGAAGAAAAAGAAGAGTAAACGAGAGGAGAGCAGGAATGGAATCAGGAAGACCAGCTGGAAGCCATTGCAGCAATTCAGGCTGAAAGTGTGGTGGCTTGGACCAAGGGTGTGGTGGTGGAGATCATGAGAAGTGACAGGGTTCTGGATTCATCTTGAGGAGAGTAGACTTTATGAGAATTTTGTTTGAGATGAATGTTAGACTCAAGGAAATTACTAATTGTCAGTAGAAAGGCAAGCCAAAAGCTTGGTTTACCTGTGAAGCTCAATTTATTTCATGTGTCATACCTGTTAACAGGAATTTTTTAAAATTTAGGGTAAAAAAATGTAGCTACAACTATGATGGAAGTATTTTACTAACAGAAATTATTCTCAGTGAATTCCAATGTTTCTTACATATTAATTGCTATAACTCATATATAATGGAATCACTAAAATACTTTTAATTTATGGAAATCAAGTGTTCCTATTCATGGGCCTTTGATGTGGCTAGTTGGATAAATTCTGGGATGTTTGCATCATATCTACCCCATTCTAGTTTCCAAAACTACCAATTTGTTTTACGTTTTGTTATAGGCAGTGTTTCATGTTTTATTGACATGAAATTATGCATTTTTAATGCATTAACTTTCTGGTTCCAACTGCATTTTTGTTTATTTGCTTTTTAATTTTTTTCCTTACCAGAAGGAAATTGTTTCCCAGAATGGGATGGACTCATTTGTTGGCCTAGAGGAACAGTGGGCAAAATATCGGCTGTCCCATGCCCTCCTTATATTTATGACTTCAATCATAAAGGTATTGCACTTTTCTGAAATGATTCATTTGGAATAGAAATTTACTTTATTTTTAAAATAATGGACTGTGTGAGAATGGAGCAATCTCAGTGTTTTTCTTATCTTTACAGGAGTTGCTTTCCGACACTGTAACCCGAATGGAACATGGGATTTTATGCACAGTTTAAATAAAACATGGTCTAATTATTCAGACTGCCTTCGCTTTCTGCAGCCAGATATCAGCATAGGAAAGGTAATGATATTTTTGTACTTGTGAACCCCTAAGGGAAAACAAAATAATTTTTTATGTAATTCTTGATTGTCAGCCATTATATATATAAAACTCCTTTGACACAAAGATCATAAAAGATAAAAACAAAGATGGAATCTTTTCAGATACCTGGTTAAGAAAAGGTCTAGGACCTGAAACATCGTGATATTTTCTTTAGTTTAGAATTACCTGGCTGAGATATATGCATATCCACTTATAAATATGTGTCTATTACATTATATTTACATTACCTGATATGATGCTATATTATATTATGTATAAAAATCAAAGTAGGTAGTCAGCAGCATGATTCATCATTTTTTCTTGGTTACCTATTAATGGCCAAACTTATCTCACTCTATATTCCTGGACGAGCTTTGTGTTTTAGAGATGTCTTTCCCATCTCATAAGATTTGCCAGTAGGTGATTTCATTAGTATATGAAAGTTTAGAGTTGTGGAATTAACGAAGAGCAAGGGGTTTCCTATAGGTGTCCTCACACAATACCTTAATTTTATACATGTAAGTCAACTCAGAACCAGAGATGAAGTGTTGGTCAAAGTGACTCAGCTCGATTGTGGCACAGTCCAAAGCAAAGCCCTGATCTCCAGATTCTTTATAAGTGCTGTTTCCAGTGTGGTAAGCATATATAAACTTTAAAAACTTCTAGATTGTTACTTTTAAGTTATATGTGGTGGTTTAAAAGTCATGCTTAATTTTGTATCATGCAAACCTCATGAGTAAAATGCATGATGTTTCTAGGAGTAAACATAAATTAATGTATAAATGATTTTGAGAACAGTCATAATATAAACTCTGCCAGCATTAGACATGTTTCTTTATGTTTGGTGGTATTTTTTGGTAGGAGGAGGGAGAACAGTGGTAGAAGAAGTGGTGAGTTAGAGATTTCTTTGTTTGGTTTTGCATTAATAGTCCGAACTTTCTTTCTTAACATTTTTTTCTGACGCAAAGCACTACCACCTTAATGACTTTTTAGTAAGTTGCTGAAAGACCTCAGTTTTGTATTTCATTGTTGACATGATTCTTGGATAAAACTAGTCAATGTGAGGGGATTATTATGTACTCACTAATGGGACTAAAGCCAACAATGAGTTAATATAAAATACTTCAAAATAATTTCAATTTCATTGATATTGATAAACATTCCCAATATTTCGTGTACTCTCTTATGAATTTGTGCACTAAATGATGACAAATGCAAGCCTTTCACAGGTTTTAGATGACCATTAATTTAAATCATGGTTTTATTGTACTGAACTCTAATTTTATAACCATTCTTTTCGATTACTATGTATTCTGAGAATCAGAATAGCTAAGGATGGTAAAAATACCCAAAGTGTGGACTATTTTATATAAACGTGGTTTAAAAGTTAACTGAAAAATCTGGTTCATTTTGTTAGCGTAAGTAATTTTATCTCCTTAATTAAAAACATAAAGACTGTCTTCTATTGTTTACAACCCTTAAGCAGTAATTTGAGAAAACTGAGGAAAAGTAAATATCCTCTAAAAAGAAAACTAGGTATCTCCTGACGTTTTGATAGACTGTAGGGAAAAATGATATTACTTATTTATGAGATACTAATTATTAATTTTTTTGTATAAGAAACAAAAGGTAAAAGTTAAAAAGTGTGCGTTTAGGATAAATTCCACATCTTCATAGGGGAAATAAGACTAAGACCTTTAGAACATCTATTGTTTTGCTCTTTAAATGATTTCCGTATCATTGACTTGACAAAATGAGATAATTACTATTTTTTATTAATAGTAAGGGGAAGGAACTCTTATGTTAGGCTGTGAGGTTGTTAAATTCTTTAAAGTATGATATTTAAAACAGTAGCGTACTGTGGAAATTACCATCTATCTCATGTCTAAAGGCTATATGAACTTTTGGACAGCAATTTAACAATACATATTAAGAAACTTCAAAAGGAATCCTATCCCTTGATCTTACAATTTTACTTCTAATATTCACACATAAAGATTTGAAGTGGGAGGAACTGAATGGAAAAAAAATGTTCATTGAACCATTAATTATTACAGTGAATATTCTGAAGAGTTTAAATTTCCAATGAAGAACTGGCTAAATAAGCTCAAATATATATTTTGTGTAGATTGTGGTCTTGGGAAATTCTTTTGTTATACAGTCATCTGGAAAAAAAATCAGGTAATAAACTTGTATATAGATCGGGGATGCATATGCTCAAAACAATAAGAAATTATGCATAGAAATAAGATAAAAACAAATACTCAAAACACAGTGGTCTTTTTTGCCTGCTGGGAATTAGGGAGTGTTTTTCCTTTTCTCTTTTGCATTTTACACGTTTATCCAAATATTTTCTATTATAAAGTTTAACATTTTATTAACAGAAAAAAATGTAATAAATATTTTTTAAAAAGAAACAAGAGACAAAGTCTTCTGCTTCTAATCAGGATGTAGGAGGTTGCAACAATAGGGATGAGTTAAGATGCAAAATTAGTAATTTGTAAAAATCTGTCAGTGAGCTGAGGATGCCAGAAATCTAAATGAACCTAATTCCAAACATGGGAAAGCCCTTCTTATGAGAAAAGAGACCCATGGCTGCATTCATCCCTGGCTCTGCACCAGAAGAGGAGCAACCAGGCTATATATAGAAGAGGATAAAAAGAAAAGTTCCAGACTTTTAAAACAGTTTTCCACAGACATGGGCTGGAATAAGGACTTAGAATTCCAAGGAATGAACCGCAGTCACAGGTGTCACCCATCAGTCAATTCTTTCCCGTGGGGCCTTCACTGAGTGTCAAGAGGCAGTGTGCCAAAGGCTGCGGGCAGTGCAGGTGGGCTGAGAGGTTTCCCGAGATGTGCCTGGGGCCTCTTAGAGTGAGAGGTAGCTGTTAGCTGAAGGCATGGGACAGAACAGAGGCGCTGGGGGACGTCTCTTGGAGGACCTGGGGCCCTCACTAAGTGCATGTCCACTGCAGCTCAGAGGCCAGGGAAGGGCAGGAAAGCTGAGAGAAACCCCCAACATGACAAATCTCACTGGGTAAAAGGCAGCAGCCTGACAAAATAGAGCTGAGAAATATCTTTCCCAGGCATATGAGGTCTTCATCTAAAGCAAGGCACTGGCTAGCTGAGAACCAGAGCAGAGCAGCAGAGGAGTGACATCTTCTGAGATGCAGAAAGCCCAGGGCAGAGCTGAAGAGCGAAGTGAGATCCTCAGCAGCTCCAAAGCTGTTGGATGGGTCTAAAAGCAGAAGTAGTCCTTTTGTGGCTTGAGAAACTCAGATGGACTAAAACCCACATAATGGCCACTAGAGGCTGCTGGTGCTCAGATCCCAAGGTCCGCTGAAGGAAAAGTCTTGATTCTGCTCTCAAAACCTAAAACCAGGATAAGAGGAATCATAAAAACAAAAACAATATTAAAAATACTATAGCAAACCCAACCGCAGTTTAACAACAAAGTGATCCAGCCTCCCCACCCAAGAAGCCTAACAGAGGAAGAGGCCTGCCCTTTTCAGGCTGTTAGTATTATATACTTCAGTCCCTACTGTCCTTTTACTTACAATGTCTGTAGTGTAATAAAAAATTGCAAGATAGAGACCCAAAATCTAGAGTAAAAAGAAAAGCAGAAAAAAAGATGGTCCAGATATTGGAAATTGCAAATGAGGACTTGCTAATAACTATTATATATATGTTAGATGCTTTAGTGAAAAGGTGCATAAAACAGATGGGAAAATCAGCAGAGAAAGGTAAACTTAAAAAAAATAATTAAATGGAAATTCTAGAATTGAAATGTTCAATTCAGGAATGAAGAATTCATTTGATATGAAGTTAGATGTAAAGAGAGAGAAAGAATGGGGCAAAATAAATACCTGAGAAGACAGTGGCCAATTTTCTAAAATGGATGAAATAAATCAATCCACAGGTCCCAGATATTCAGCAAACCCTAGGCAGGATAAATAAAAAGAAAATCACACTTAGACACATCATGGTTAAACTGCTGTAAATCAAGGTGAATAGAAAACCTCAAAAGCAGTGAGAGAAAAGTGTCCCATTATATTCAGGGGAACAACAAAAGAGATGCTTGACTTTTAGTAATGAACTGTGGAAGCCAGAATGCAATGGAATGGCATCTTTCAAATGATAATACGCATTAAGATAAAGGCAAAATAATGATGTTTTGGACAAAAATCTGAGAGAATTTATCAGACTTTTGGTATAGGAAATTCTCAAAAAATTATCTAGGTGTAAGAGAAATATACCAGATGGAAGCATAAATTGGCAGAAAAGAATGAGGGGTACCAGAAAATGTATATGTGGATAAAAAGACAGACTCTAAAGTTATAAAGAGAACTATATACCTATCCTTACTTATTGCTATGCTTTTATCTATCTTTTTATCTATATCTGTAATCTAATTCTTTAAAAGTCTACTGACTGCTTAAAAACATAATAGCTGCTTATTAGGTTTTATAAATTGTGTAGAACAAAATCTAAAAAGGGACAAAGGCTGGGGGAGCAAAATTGAGTACACAACTAAAGTTCTTATATAGTGAAATAGCTTATTATTATTTAAATGTAGTCTGTGATAGGTTCAAGATACAGAATCAAGTTTCTGTAGTAACTACTAAAAAATAACACAAGTGAGATACTAAGAAATACTTGATTGACTTTCCCCATCCCGACCCCCCAGTGAAAGGTAAGGAAGTAGGTATAGAGGAGCAAGGAAAAAATAGGACATACAGAATGCAAATAACTGTATGTTAGATTTAAACTCAGCCAGAGCAAGAATAGTATTCAAGGTAGATAAACTAAACACTTCACTGAAAAGGCAGAAGTTGTCAGGATGGATAATAAAAGTATGACTCAGTTGTATGCTGTCTTTGAGAAATGTACTCTAAATATAAAGATACAGATAAATGTGAAGATAACAGTTATGTTGAAATTAAAGAGTGGAAAAAGGTACATGCTGTGCATTCTCCAAGCAGAAAGTTGGTGCGGCTAAGTAGACATCAAGACAAAAGGTATTACCAAGATGAAGGGACATTACAAAGTTTTTAAAGACTCAGTTACCAAGAGGGAATAATCCTAAATATACATGCATTTAGGAGTTACAAATTACATTAAGCAAAAATTGTCAGAGCTAAAGGAGGAAATAACCAAATCCCAGGATGTTGAAACTTTTTAAAATGCTATTCTCTTGGTAATTGATAGAACAATTGGACAAAAACATCTGTAAAATATCTTTCAAACAATTTGATTAAATTGACATTTATGGAATACTATACACAACAACTGCAAAATTCACATTCTTTTAAAGTAGTCAACAAAATTTTTCAAGGTAGAACATATGCTGGGCTGTAAAACAATTTTCACTAAATCTCAAGATTAAAATATACGGAGTACATTCTCTGATCATAAAAGAATTAATTGAAAATCAACTAAAATAAAATATGTAGACAATTCATAAATAGTTGGAAATTATGTGACCAATGGCAAAAGTTTGAAATGAATAAATACGAAAGCTCAATATTTATCAAAAATTGTGGGAAACAGCAAAAACAAAGCATAGAGGAAGATTTATAGCTTTTAATGCTTAATTAGAAAAGAAGAAAGGTGAAAATTCAATGATCAGGTCTTCCACGTTAAGCTATATAATGTAATACCTAGAGCAACCACTGAAAGCACTGTACAAAAATACATATCAAAATGGAATTCTACAAAATCCTCAACCCACAAGTGGCAGGAAAAGTAAAACAGAAATGAAAAATACAACAACAGAAAATAAAAAAATAAAATGATGGACTTATCCTTAACATATCAATATTATATTAAAAACAAATGGTCAAAATATACTTATTACAGAGACTAAAAGAGTCTATGAAAAACACGACCCAACTGTATGTTATCTACCAAGTTTGAAACTCATTTCAAATACGATGATATACACAGGTTACATACATACCATGCAGTACTATTCAGCAATAAAAGAGAGCAAACCTGATGTGTTCAGCAGCTTGAATGGATCTTGAGGACATTACTCTGAGTGAAAAAAGCCAGCCTGGAAGGTCATATACTGTATGATTCCATTTCTGTAACATCTATGAAATGACAGAATTATCAAGGTAGAAAACAGATTAACAGTTGGCAGATGATAGGGATAGTGGGGAGGAACAGGGTAGGTATGACTGTAAAGGAACAGCACAAGGAAGATCGCTGTGGTGATGGAATAATTCTGTATCTTGATTGCAGAGATAGTTACAAAAATTTACATATATGATAAAATGACATAGAACTGTAAACACATGAACTAGACCAATACCAAATTCCTGGTTTGATATTTTAGTATAATTATGTAAGATATAAGCATTGGAGGATGCTGGGTGAAGGGTACATGGGACCTTTCTTACTATCTTTTCCACCACTTTTTAATCTATAATAATTTTAAAATAAAAAAAATGAAAAGGAATGAACCATTGATTCATGCAACAATATCAGTGAATATCAAAACAGTATGTTGACAAAAGAGCATATACTGTACAATTCTAACTCTGAGAACGGTCGAGAAGTATATGAAGTACATGAACAGATAAAGCCAATTGTGGTGATAGAAGTTGGAACAGTAGTTACCTGGGGGTGGATGGTGGGTGGATTTTTGACTAGCAAGTGGCACAATGAACTCGGGTTTGTCAAAACCCATCAAGCCGCTCATTTAAAATCTGTACATTTTGTTTCATGTAAGCCACGGCTCAGTAAAAAAGCTAAAGAAAACTAGAAATAATATTCCAGAATTGACATGTTCTTTTTACCAGTTTTCTCTTAAAATTATCCTGTAACATGTGTTTTATTTACTCCAAATATCACATGTCAAATATACACTTGCAATTAATTAAAATGAACACTGAAAAATACATGGAGTAAATATTGCAACATTTAACTTGGCCTCACTTAAGCAATAAGAAATGCCAGATATTTTCATTCCACCTTTAACCCTGACTTGAATTTAGGGAGTAAAAGGAAGGCCGGCCAGAAAATAATCTATCTTATATGAATGTGGTAACACATTGCCTAAGAAGTAAAAGTATGATTTTTAAGTTTATCTACATCAAAATATTTGTTCAGACCTGCTTTTCTGATTAAATCTGTGTTTCTTCAGCAAGAATTCTTTGAGCGCCTCTATGTCATGTACACTACTGGATACTCCGTCTCCTTTGGGTCCCTGGCTGTGGCTATTCTCATCATTGGTTACTTCAGGTGAGTGACTCCTAATCACTTTCTCTGTGAAGGGGCAGCTCTGTTTCCTACCCATCAAGGCACCGATGTCTCACAATCTGTGCTTCCAAATATTTTCCCAAACACAAGTGTTTGAATTCAGCCTAGTGTCATATTATTTGACTTTGACAATTTATTTTTCATGAGAAATTCAGCTTTTTTGGTTGCTTGTTTGTTTAAAAAGTTAAAGCGTCAAAGCAGTCTGAGACCATTTAGCCAACAGATCTACCCTATAGTATATTCTGTTTGCAGAGGAATGCTGAAGATAGTCACGTGAGTTACAGAAATTCTCACTCATGAAGTAAAGACTTATTTCACTTTTCCCAAATGATTGTTGTGCCACTGGACATAAATTTACTTTACATAATCTCTAATTTATTTGATGTTGTATATAATGAAATAGTATTTATTGATTTTGCTGCAATTTATTTTGTTATCCACTTAAACTTTTGTCCAATTCATTTCACCTTAATTTAATCAAGACAGAATTTCAGACATCACTATGGAGATAAAACAGTGAACAATGTGTGTAGAATGATACTTGCAGCTGGCCTGTGACACAAATAGCGGAGAAAACAGTTTATAGTTTGAAAAGTGCTATGATCCAGGTGAGGAAAGGGGAGGGATATGAGGGAAGACCTCCCAGATGAAGTGAAACGACAAGTGCTACATGAGTATAAATAATAGTTAACCGAAAGAGGAGACTGGGGAGAGAGTTTAAACTTAAGCTTAGATCAAGAAAAAGCATGGAATATTTGAGAATTCAGAATTTTGGTGTAGGCAAGTGATGGGCTTTGAGGCTAGAGAGGTAAGCAGGGTTGAGAATGTATTGAGACCTGTAGGTTATGTGGAGTCTGGACTTCACCCTGGGAGCCAATGGGAAACCACAAAGGATTTTAAGTGGAGGAGTGACAGGTAACATGACTTGTATTGCAAGGTGGAGCGTGAGCTACTGGGATGCAAGATAGGAAGCCCGTTTGGAAGATGCTGGTAGAGTCATCAGGACAAGAAGATGGTGGCCTGGCCGGGCCAGTGGCCTTGGGGATGGAATAAAAATGGGCAGCTTTGAGCTATATTAACTAAGACTGTACCATTTAAAATTTTAGTGCTTAATTATGTGTGAGAAAAGGAGTGAGGTTAGATGATACATTAGAAAACTGAAATGGAGGATTTAGAAATTAACAGACACTACAACTAAAAACAAGTTTTAAGTTTTGGTTCCTATTATCTTATAGTCCTCTCTTCCTTGAAACCGCTCCTGCCTATTTCCTGGTTTGTTTTTCTTCTTTGATTTATTGCTATCCAATGTATTATCTCATGTTTTACTTATTTATCTTTTTATTTTTTGTCTCTCCCTCTACAGTGTAAAGCCACATGAGAGTAGGCATTTATTTTTTTCTGTTTGCTCATTACTGCACTCTCAGTAGCTACAGTGTACTTGATATATCCTGGTCCTCAATAATATTGTTGAATTAATAAGTAAATGACTAGTTCTAATATTCCAACCACTTCTTCTAACATAATTACCCATATAGTAGTGGTCTAGTGATTTAGTTTATATTTCCAAAGTTTTTTGCTTTATTGATTTACTAGTCCATTATTCAACAAGCATTTTTCTCTATCTTGTGATAGACCCTTCTTTGTATTGGCAGAGGCCAAGTTAAGACACGCTGCAGACCAGGAAAGTAGTACGTACACCACTGAGAGAAACTGACACGTTAAATGATTGTTAGTATTGTAATGCAGTTTTCTAAAAAAGGGAATACCAAGGAGCTAGCCCCAAAACTGACAAGGTAAGGAAGAGAGATTTCCTATAACAGCTGATATTGGAGCTGGTATGAATGATCAGAAGGAATCCAGCATATTCCAAATGATGGGAACAGAATATGCATGATCAGAGGCATGACGGAGCAGAGTGCTCTCAGGGAATATAGAAGGGTCCTGTGTGAACCCAGCATTAGATGCATAGGACGGAGCGGCCACATGGGAACGGCCCAGGGGTAGAAACTTGAATTTGTGGCATTAGGTTCTGCAGGCCCTTGTCAAGGGCTTTGAATTTTGTCTTATAAACTAGTGTACAGGGAGCCAAAGAAGTTTTTAAGTACAAGGGTAACATGATCACATTTGTGGTGTTATAGAGGGGTTCCTCAAAATAGCCTTGTGAAGTTGGCTTGGCTGGTGTCATCTCATTTGAGAGACAAGAAACTGAAGCTCAGTGTTCAAAGTCACAAGGTGGTCCAGCTGGAAACAGAACCTTCATCTTCTGCCTACTATCCAGAGCTCCTTCCATTACACTGAGCTTAGCTGTGGTTGTTCAGAATAATAGACAAATATCTATGAGAATAAAAGCTACACGAAATTTCAGGAGGATACAAATGATGAAGTAATAATTCTTCAGTTTACATAACAGTTTATCAAAGTATTTAACAGTGGATACAATTACTTTCTACCCAGTTGCTGTACTATTTTGCTGTACAGCAAAATGATACAAAAATTTTAGAAACTCTTCAGTTGCACAAAACAAAATATTCCTTTATTGTAGTAAGTAGTGTTGACTCTCTTAAAAATCAAAACCTATTTATATACTATGATGAAACTCTTCACAGTAAATAATTACTTTGTGCACTTGATGAGTTATCTGAACAAATACTGCTCACCTCTGAAGACATTCCCAGTGAAGAGTTAATCAGTGGGAGGACCGTCGGGGCAGAGTGGGCATGAATACTTGTCCCTAACATGTTAACAAGGCAACACTTTCAAAATGTCTAAATTTATCTCATTCTCATTTGATCTTTCCCTCATATAGTATGAAATATAAAAATATATTTTTGGATTAAAACATTTCTTACTCCCCTACACTTGAGTGCTTTGTCTTTTCTGGAAGAGTAGTAGTAGTGTGTTCATTGTACAGGAAGGCTGTGCTTTCTCTCAGTCAAGCAATGGTAGAGCTGAGTCTTTTGATCAGATTATACATCCCATTTTTTAAAAATCAAACTTAAAAAAACCTTTTTTGGAGTTAGCTTTCTGTCCTAGTTGGTGGTGTTATATCTATTCCTGAGTGTGTTACTGACTTAACTTGTGTCTAAGATCCTTTTTATAGTTCCAAAGCTTTTTATGTTAAAGGAAGCTTGTTTTCTCTCTAATATTCCTAGGAAATGAAATTGTAAAATATCTCAGTTCTTATAGTGAATGTATTAAAAATGTGAACATTTCAGTTTTTAGTAAGTTTTGTTCCCATCCAAGGTAGTTCTCCATTAATTATTACTCTAATGTATAGTATAATATAATGCTATAGGGTAATATAGTATAATATGTAACACTGCAAAATATGGATAAACGTGATAGCAGATCAGGATAAATTTGAAATTAATTCTCAAAAAGTTACATTTTAATTTTTGACCCTAATTGTTTCTGTTGGGAATATGTAATAGCGAGCTTCTGTCTTTGTTCAGGTTTACTGTTTTTCTTCTTTTGGGGGATGAATTTGGGCTCATTTGTGTACTGTATTCCTCCATTTCTAAAGTTATTCAAATCTAAATACTGAATTTTTTCTCTCTATAGACGATTGCATTGTACGAGGAACTATATCCACATGCACTTATTTGTGTCTTTCATGCTGAGAGCTGCGAGCATCTTTGTCAAGGACAGAGTGGTCCATGCTCACATAGGAGTAAAGGAACTGCAGTCCCTGGTGATGCAAGATGACCTACGAAGTTCCATGGAAGTGCCTTCTGTGGACAAATCACAATATGTGAGTGTTTTCATCATGAGTTCCTGTCATGGCTCACCACTTTCAAAAGTAAAAAGTCCACCTACAAAACCAGAAGCTTGTGGTTGAAAAACCTATGGCATTTAGTTCCTTTAATGTAGAGTCAAAGACTTGTTCTCGTAAAAGATTCCATTGTACTTGATTCTGCTCCTAAAATGTCATGGTGTTATTTAGTTAAGTAGAATCACCCAATAACTCAGTTAGAAGGATTATCACCATTGAAGCAATATATCTAGAAATTAGGTAGAGTAGATTGATTGTCTTGATGGTGTGAATTAATGCCATCGGTATCTGTGCCCTTTGCCCTGTCACTTTGTCGTCCCTGCTGATTCTGATTCTGGATTGGCTTTGTGACTTGTTTTACCCGATAGAATGAAGTGGGTGTGGTGGTGTGCCAGTTGAGAGTAGACCTTTATGAGTGAGCTTAGCCAAGATTAGCTAAGCATCACCCAGAGCAGCAGAATCACCTAGCCAATCCATAGATTCTTAAGACTTACCAAGCATTTATTGCTTTAAGCCATTAACTTTTGGTGCATATAAAAGACCAGAATAAAATAAATTCATGGTAGGGTGATAGATAATATTTCTTCTTTATTCTTTTCTGTACTTTCCTAATTTTCTCTAATGATCAAGAATTATTTTTATAAACAGGGAAAAATTAAGGAGAAGTGAATTCTTGTAACTTCTAAAAGAAAAAAATTCTTATTTTAAAAATAGAATCAAGATAGCAGTTTTAGAAATGCTGTGTTAAAATAACTTTGTTCTGGTCTCTTTCAAAAGTCTTGGCCTTTTTATGTACAAGTGACATTAGACTATAAAAAAGAAATGGAAGAACTTCTTTTCAGTGGTCTAATGTTGGCATCCAGTACAATTAGGAATTCTAATATAGTGCAATGTTGGTTTATTTGTAACAGATTGGGTGCAAGATTGCTGTTGTGATGTTTATTTACTTCTTGGCTACAAACTACTATTGGATCTTGGTGGAAGGTCTCTATCTGCATAGTTTAATCTTTGTGGAGTTCTTTTCGGACACCAAGTACCTGTGGGGCTTCACCTTGATAGGCTGGGGTAAGGCTTTTCTGTCTTTGTTTCTTTTCAGCTGGATTATAGATTTTAGGGCTTTCTGTCTTGCCTATCGTTAGCATTCTTTCAGCCATTTTTCTTGAAATAACCCCCTCCCCACCCTATCTTTAGCTTTCCTTTCTTTTTCATTGTTCATTGGGGAAATTATTAAAATTAAATCTATAATCCTCCCAGTGGTAAACAGACTTTTCACATTTAACTTAACGGTTAGTGTTCTTAGGCCAGATTTTTGAGAGGATTCTTTGGGGGAAATACTGTGTTAACCACACACATTTAGAAGTGCTGTGCTCATGTCATTTCAGTGTCCTGATTTAACAATGATTACATTCTAAAAATTTTGAGTTTTGAATTTCTAAGCTATAACCACACATCTTTGATTTGTAATTCTAGGTCATATAATGAAAATGCCAGAGAGAAATTTATAGGACCATCTTGACTGGATTTAACAATACAAATTACAAACAATTATGAGATTTACCATGTCTTTTGGAAGGAAATAGTCCACATTACTTTTGGCATAAGTAATTAAAAAAAAAGGATATTTAGCTCACATTCGAAAAATGCCTTGTCAGTACTAGAGGGATTACTGAAGGAAGCACTAACTCAACATTATATGGAGAAAAGATGTTGTTATAATTTAAGACAAATTAAAACTCATATATATGGTTAAAATTAAGAAGTCTTAAGGTTAACAATTGCAAATCTCAATTGCTATTTTAATATCCAAATTATCAGGTGCTTAGCACAGGAAAAAAATTAACTAAGTGGCTCAAGATGAAATTTGAAGTTTTTTCCCCCTTCCAAAATAAAAATATTTCTTTGCCTGATTTGCCTTAATATTGTTTTAACATTTGCAGATGTGAAATAGGGAACATTTAATTTCCTGCTAGTTAGTTAATAACCTTTAAGAAGACAAAGGGCTAATTTAGTAACACTTTATTTATTATGAAATAATAATTGTCATAAATAAAATTTTATTTCTGAAAACAGCTTGTCTGCTTTAAGGTGTTCCCTTATCTTTGACTAGCAGTTACTAAAATAAAAAGAGATTTTTTTTTTAGGGTACTTCAGAAATTTTCTCAACAGCTTTTGGTAGCTTGCCTTCAAATTAAAACTTTATCTAATATTCAAATCATAACTAGAAGTTAGTAAAGGTGTTGATAGAAAATTCAACAATGAATTTGTCTGAGTTTCATTTTATTTTTTGGATTTCTATGACATTGGTCACACTAGTAATAAACTTGTTTTTCTTTGTTTACGTATTGGTTTGGTAGCTAATTCCCCATCAACTCTTATTTGGTTATATCAGTCAGTCTGTCGCTCCTTAAAGTCAGGAGTTTGTCTCACTGAAACCGAGGAAATCTGTTTTCAAATCTTTTTATGGAAAAGAGAATTCAAAAAATAGTCAGGGTTCCAATGAGCTTCTATGCAAGTATGAGGTTCTTACCTTCCTTTACAACTTTCATTAATTTGTCTGCAAAATTTTTGCCACAGGAATGACAGCTACAGTAGATAAGCATCACTACTTGAAATCTTAATTTCATCAATTGGTTTTAGAACATGCATGAAAGCAAGTAATATTTACGTGGAAACTCACTTTAAAAAAGCATTTTGTATGCAATATTATGTTCACTTAATTAACAATAATTTAAAACAGTAACAACCAATCTTTACAAAGTTATAGTTCTGTAGTTGGCCTGTCTTCTAACTTCTTTCTATGCAGCTCTTTTTTTTTAATAAATGGTATAGGCTAGGACATCTATAATTTTAAAAATAGTAATGTTGTTTAAGAATCTCTCTCTTCTACTAAGACACAGCTACCATTTAATGAAGTAAATATCTAAGTCTATTTGATTAATAGACTATTTTTCTCTTAGCTCAACACCGAGAGTCTGATTTTAAAATATCATTTTTATTTCAGACTCATTTTTCCAAATTTCTGTAAGAAAGATGGTGATCCAAACGTTGTAGCTGCTTTGCAGGATCCTTTGCTAGAATAATCCATAAAGGATCCAATTTCATATTTTCTTCCAATGATTTATTGGCCTGATTGGAGAAGAGAATTTACTTGAGTTCCTTTGTTACTCATTGGACCTCGTCATTGTAACTTTAAGCTTTCTTTAGCTAGGTAAATACCCAGAACTTTATTACTCACATTGTAATGATGTGTGGAGTTACATTAGTTACATTGATCTTGCTGATTCTTAACAATAAACTGGTGAGGAAGGAAATTGCAACCTAAAGAGGAACATATGCCGTATCTGTTTTGGTAGCTTGAAGGCAGATATTTAAAATGACTGTTTTTATACATCTTAATCACAAAACAAGATGTATAGAGGAGTAAAGGCAAATTCTAATGATGACCATGTTCCTTTTCTTTCAACCAGCCACATTCTTAATTTTTCCTATCTCTGCCTCAGTTTTCTCATAAATAAGGCACTTTACTCTTGGTTCCAAATACACATTCTGAAAATACATTTAATTCTATATTTAACAGATGTCAGTCAAGAAGTACAAACTTCTAGTTAGAAGATAAATAAGTACTATAGATGTAACAATGTACAGCATAATGGAAACAAGATGTCAGTCTTGCTTCTTTATGCTTATTGAATGTGGTAATTTACCTTTATATTAGCAGCCATTCTTAATTTTCAGCTGTCAAATGAGATGCCAGAATGTACCTAATATCATATAAAAGCACCTATCTTGGTTATATCATGCAGTTGTTTCCCTGTTGCCAAGCTTTCATGGAGAATATTTTCATATTTTGTATTATCTGAAAATATCTGGAGAAGGTACTACATTTCCAGTTTTATTATCTATGTATAAAATGATTTAAATCCAGCAAACATTTTTTGATCATCCATTTGGCAGTAAATATAATTAAGATGCAGAGATATGTGTTAAAGTCCCAGCACACAAGAAGCATGCAGTCTGATCCTTTATGTTATTTTTTTAATGCTTATTCTGATCATGTGTATTATATTCAAAATATTTAATTTATAAAATCAGTTCTTCATAAAATTATTTATGAGCCTCAATATAACACCTTTACACATTTAAAGATCTTGTTTGCTTCAGGCACAATTTAAAAATCTAGAAAAATATTTTTCCTTTTCCCTATGATTTTTAATGCCATTATTAATTCTACCTTAAAGTTATTTTAAAGTTAAAGTTATATTTAACCATTACAGTCAATAAAAGATCTATATTTTAACTCTACATTATGAAAGATAAGGAACTTGGTTCTCTCTGCTTATGACTTTTCCCAGACTTTTAAGATGTAATTTGGAGTTCTACTACTAATTATTAAAAATTATATGGATTATTATTTATTTAAAAGAAAATAAATTATGATCAAATTTAGATTTATTTGTGACAGTTATGTAGATTTATCACTGTAGGTTCACCTGGTTTCAAGATTCCATCCCTTCTCCAGTTTGATTTTCTACAGTTTTTGCCCACTGGTAGTACTTAATTCAGTAAGCATATTTTATTTTCCATTGTAGTGCTTCTGTTTCAGATAGGTCCTTTTTCATAATGCCTTATTCTAGTCTTCTAGAGCATTTTTTTAAGACTATCAATTAGATATATTTTGTAAAGATTTCTTTTGTTTCCTGTAGTTATTCCATGTCAGGAGAAGGTAGCCCTTCTAAAGTTTCATAGGTAGACATTCTCCTTCATAACAATGGAAGACTTTTCAAAGGCTCTGCAGTTTTCCTCTCAGAGAGATGTGCTCATTCAGTATTAGCTTTAGCATCCTCTGAGCGTTTAAGGACACTTCTATCAAAATCATACAGACCAATTTCTAGGTTCCTTAAAGGATGAATCAGCAAGTGATGGATACTGAAATCCAGCATCCTGCAATAAGTAGAGAGGGAACTGGAGATACAGCTTGGAGCTTCGTGTCTGGGCAGTCAACATAGCCTGGATTTCCAGGGGAATCTGTGTTCCTGGTTAGTAAGACATTATGTGTCTATAGCAAATCTAGGAATCCCTGTGTCATGATGGGTTTCTAATTTTCAGGACTAACTCTACACTTCATGATCAAGCTATGATTTTACAATACTATAGTAGCATCATAGGAGGGTAAGGCTGAGGTTGGATTCTATGAAGTTTCTGAATTATCCAATCCAAGATAAAATTACATAGACCAGTACAGGAAGACCTTTTTACCCCATTTTGGCTTCAGGGCATCTCTGGTTTATGCAGTGGGCTGTTGTGTGTTTTTATTTGAAGAAAGGGTTTAGTTGCCAAAAATTTTTGACTATTGTTAGCCTAAACCATTGTTTTAAAGGAGAAGAGTAATGAAGCCACACCAAAACCCAATTCTACTTATTCTTTGACCAGAGATTGCCTCCTTCTTAGAATCACTCATTTGCAGGAGGGTGGGTATAGCTCAGTGGTAGAGTGTGTGCTTAGCATGGTCCTGGGTTCAATCCCCAGTAGCTCTGCCAAAAAATAAAAATAAAAATAAAAATAAAAATAAAAAGATAAATAAATAAAAACCTAATTACCTCCCTGCAAACCAAACCAAAACAAAACAAAATCAGTTGTTTATACTGACATTTCATGAAAATAACCCAGTTCTTAAAAGATGAATGCAAATATAGGGTAATATGAAAATTTACATTAGACCTACTTAAAATAACATTTAAATTTAAAATAACATCTAAATTTCAAACATTCTTCTTGTATTTATGTGTTCTCAGTTATGTAATAATGTGATACTAAGGTTGGTGATCAGAAATCCTTAAAAAACCCAAAAGTAGTTTCTGTTCTTTATTCTTCCATGATTGTCTCTGTGCTAATCCTGTGAATGAGGGTTTTTCCAAGAGGATAAGAAAAGCAATTTCACTAAGACATGGTGCCTGATATAAGATATTTGTTATAATTATCATTTAAAATATAATTCCAACTCCAACATCATTGATCAGTGAGTAAAGAACATCATTCAGGAAATTCCTGATCGGGAGATTGTAAAGGAAGCAGAAGATAAAGCCCTGC